GACTTCATTTAATGATATAATATAATAGTATTAATAATACTTTGAAGGCATCGTGAAATAAAGACTGAGCAGTAATCATTTCTTCAGCTTGTGGATTTTTTTCTTTGAATAGCGAAACTATATGATATTATCTACAGAAAGAACATGTAAAGTGTTGATCGAAATCAAGGCTAAATGTATATTCTTTTTATGTAGAAAGTAGTCAGATATATTCTTTCAGCAAGGTATATATATATATATGTATATATTTATATTTATATAGTTAGTTTGTTAACATTGTTCTAATCACTTAGTAATAAAGATTTCAATTACTTTTTAGATTTTAGTTAATAATTGAATATTATCAGAAACTTATCTACACAAATGAGAAAAATGATCATTAAAACTGTCCGAAATTATATTTTATGATTTGAATGCAATCGATAGCATGAATAGGTGTTGTAATGTAAATTTAAATAAAATATATGTTAGTTTTGAATTGTAATCGTTCCGCACTACCGTAATTAACTAATTCATTTTGTAGTACAATCGTTTAAGTACTTTTTACTGTTAAGTATCATCCTAATACTGATAGTTATACAAGTGACTTCTTTTGGCTGTAATGCATCACGATGCAAAATCTGTTTAAAAGTTATTCGTACCACTAACTCTAGTTAGATGTCCATTGGAAAATCAGGAAATATCTGGGAATTTCACCAGTCTAGCATGAAATTCCATATATTTATTTACATGCTCACGACCAGACCAGTTATTGAATCTACAACTTAAAAGTATTTTGAGTCTAGTTTAGACTTTTACATTGGCATTTATTTGCGTTTTTTTTGTCGAATAATTTCTCACTAATTTAAATTTTGAATTATCGCTTTTAATTACAATGGAATTTCATAATATTCAACTTATTGTTGCATTGAATATTGAATACAGTTTCTTCAAAATGTTACAATGAATGAAGTAAACAATTGAATTGAATTTGAATTTTATTTCTTAATAACCACAACATATACTCTTCATTATCTTTTATTATTCATCCAATTTTTCTGTTATCTAAAGTATTGTTTTGAATTGCAGACATGCAAAGAATAATTTCATATCATCATTATCTTAGAATTAACTTGGGAAAACTGTTTGCCACTTTTAAGAAAGAACACACGGTCACTTTAAATAACTCAAAGATGTTATCAACAATAGCAGTACCTTGATGATAACTTGAATTTACGATGGAATGGACAGTAGTCTCACAGAGAAGTATGAGTGGAGTAAGTTCAAACTAAAATAAACTATACTAACATATCATAATGTTGGATTCTAAAAGACTCTGTCAGCAAAATTCAATCTTGTAATCTAGTTTTAATGTGATAATGGTAATAATTAACAAAAGTGGGTTCGGATCCAAGAGGCATCGAACATTGTCTGGTTTTGAACAGTTACTCATAATGACAAACTAAGAAAATATTCAATAAACTATGTACAGAAGATAAGCAATTTCATTTTGTCAACTCGTCTAAATTTATTGATCATTATTGTGGTAATTATCCAAACTGTTGCAACCGTTTTTCTCATCTCAAAGAAGAAGAAGAAGAAGACATAATTACAATCAAGTCACTGACAATCATAACAGAAACTTCAACAACAAGACTCAGGATGAGTGCTTTATATATATGTATATATGTGTGTTTGTGTGTATCCTATTGAGACTAACATAAAACAACACAGTGAAGTAGAGTAACATTTATCCTAAGATATAAAAAAACCGTTGAGAAGAAGGAAAAAGGCTGAAGAACACAAAAAATGATTTTTCGCATAAACGGCCTATTATATATATATAACACCGCATTAATTGTTCTCCTCTAGTTTAATTCTCAAGTCTAAAGAGTGCTTACAGTGAATAATTTTTTCTCTTCAAATTAATTACTTTGAAATTAATTGATAATTAAATGATCAGCCTCTTAAATTTATGTGGTTGTCTTTTTTTATTGTATCGCTTCAGGTGAATTTACACGTATTGCTGATATACTAGGAAAAAACTGTTCTCTTCTCTATCCACTATCACAGAAAGAAGTAGTCGTTTCTTCCCCAACCCCTACTCCTGTTTATGCATGTGTGTGTGTGTGCGTATGCGGCCTGTGTAACTACTTATTATACTTCTATACTTCTATACACAAACATGTTAATTGCGACTAATATTCTCTTAGATTTTCATCAACTGGTTTTCTCTTTTATTAAATTAAATCATTATATTAGGCAATGAAATTAACAATTGGCAATTTAATAAAGTGTAGATCGTCTAGGTTTTCGTTTCTTTCTTTTCCAATTATTTTTCTAATTACAGGTTGGGACAGAGTACTCACTCATCCATCTACTTGTACGCAGGCACGCACACACACACACATGCACACATACATGGATACCGAACAAAGACAGTAAAATTGAAAGGTGGACAAAATTAACAGAAAAAAGAAAAGACAAAAACTACCGAACAAATTAAAGTCAAATAAAGGAACAAAAAATAAAAAAAAACTGAACAAGAAATTAAAAAAAAAAGACAAGATAGCAAAGTAAATTGGTAAAAAAAATATCAATAAAATAAAAAAGAAACTTGAATTCAAAGAACGATTAGCAAGAGTAATTGAACAATGTTGGCAGTATTTAGGTCAATCAATGTCTGTGTCAAAGTTCATATCTGATTACTTTCCGCTAATTTATATGTATATATATATATGTAATATTAAGTGAAATTTAAATAGGTTTGAAGAAATTTATTTGAATGAATATATTTTTTTATAAAAAAAAGATAATTAAAAATTTTAATGTAATGAAGTTATTTGCTTATATGACTAATGTGTTAAATTGATTCTGTTACAGAAATCAAAATAAGCAGAACCTCGCCTATGACTACTTATGTAATAATTAGTTTCACAAAGTTCCGGAACCTCAGGCATCAACCGTGTAATAGTTGACAACACCAAGAATAAACAACACAATATCGAAGGTCCCGGAATCGAATCCTGCGAGGTGTAGGAGTCGTGGATGCACACTGCTGATGAGTTCCATACCAGGACGAAACGACCGTACAGTGCTCTCAGGTTTCCAATGGTGGTCTAACAATGACTGATTGATTGATGATATCAAATGTATAGATTTATTGTTTACAAATAATGATGAATTATTAGTTATATTTTGTCAGTAATTTATTCCGTTTTTTATCTGAGATACAAAATTCCTCAATGAAGTTTGAATGTTTGTTAAAAGAAAGCTGAACAAAAATTTAAAAATAAAGACTGAGTTTTAGAATATTTTAATTCCACTTGAATACTTATTACTTAAACTTTTCTTATTACCGTGTGGTTAACATAACTTGAGATTTATATCACATTTGTAAAGTGAGGAACAACTGGAACGCAAAACAACTATCGACAAATACTAAAGTCAGAATTTTCTGTACAAATGTCAATATAGTTCTACTCTGTACGGGGCGGAAACCTGAAGAGCCACAAAACTCATTATCCAGAAGATGAAAGTATTTATTAACAGTTTTCTACACAAGATACTGAGGATTCGTTGGTCAGATACTATCAGCAACAACTCTTTATGGGAGAAAACAAAGCAGATTCCAGCTGAGGAATAAATCAGGAAAAAGCGCTGGAGCTGAACAGGACACACACTGAGGAAAGCACCCAACTGCATAGCAAGACAAGCCCCAACATGGAATCCTCAAGGTCAAAGAAGAAGAGTAAGATCAAAAAACTCACTGCACCGAAAAGTGGAGACAGGCATGAAAAGTATGAATAGAAATTGAAAAGAACTGGAAAAGAAGGCCCAGGACAGAGTTGGTTGGGAAAATCAGGTAGAGGGCCTATGGTCCGTTGGGAGCAACAGGGGTAAGTAAGTCAATTATAGTATCACTAATTTGATGTTTAACGAGTGATATTCATAATTGCGGTAGTTGTTTTGTTTCGTTTGACTGTAAACACAATGAAATTCCGAATTTTGACCTGTTCTATAACCAGATCTTCATCAAATCAGTTATTAAACGTTGCTATTTGGTTTTATGTTAATCAGAGCAAAATAATGTTAATCGTCTGCTTAATTCTTAATTACACACATTCAAACATTTTTACTTCGCTTTTATCCATCATCTTACTAAATAATGATGGTGTATAATAGTTGAGACAAGCGAACAGGAACTTTACAGGGTTAACAGCCATGTAATACTTTTTAGTTGAGCTCTTTATGAGGTTAGCTATCCTGTATAAGAGATATTCTCTGTTACGACAAAAGAAAAATGCATTTATAGTTGGTTGAAATATTTACGAAATGTACTTTTTAGAAATATTTCTTACTTAAATATTACCTGGCTAACCTGATTTTCGTCAATTCACGGAGAATGAGTTTCATTCATTTAATTCAGTTCGCGGTCTCTAGCACTTTAAGTTTTAATTACAAATTATCCTATTGATTTTCGAGTAATTAATGTTGGGTGTTGTAGTAAGTTTGAAATAGAACCAAATAGTGACTCAATATCTTCAACATTGACAATTCCCCATTGTCAGTTGAAATAAATGCAACCATTTGTACGGTTTGTATTTACATAGACCTATTTAGACTAAATAATATTTTCTTCAGATGTTTAACTGGTTAAAAATATGGCATTTTATTGAAATCATGAACTGATCATTGTTAGACCATCACTGGAAATCTGGAAGCACTGGATGCCGGCTCATTTTCCTGGGAATTAAGCTTTCGCGCGCTAGGCTTAAGGTCCTGGGTTCGATCCCCGCAGGCAAGGGTCGTGTATGTGCTATGTTGATGAGTCCCACACTAGGATGAACTAACCGTTCAGTCCTTTTAGGTTTCTAATGGTGATCAGACAATGATCGATTCATGATTTCAATGAAACTCAACAATCTCCACCACTCTAAAATGAAATTATGCTATTTATTTAAAAATGAATTTCTGTTTATCATGGCAATTTTTTAAAAAAATCATTTTGATAGACTTACCAACTATTCGACCATCTTGATTAGTTTTAACATTTGCATCTTGTTCAAAAGACAATTGAAATAGTTTCATTTTATCATATACAAATTCATTGTCACAGTTATTTTCTTCACTATATTTCAGATTGTTGTTCATTGTACTCTTGGAGTTATAATTGTAATTGTGTTTTGAATCTATTAATTTATTGTCATTGATAAGATAACCATTTGTTAATGCATTACAATCATTGGAATTGATTGACTGTTTATTGATCGACTCATTAATAATTGGTATTAATATTTTAATAATCATTGTAGGTAATTCTTCAATATTACCTTGAATATCACCCAATTGCCAATGAATATCGAATATGTCATCAGGGTAATAATGCGAATCATTGGATTGATTGTGTTGTGATAAATTGTCATGATCTGTCGAGAATTGCTGTAATAACAGATAGAATAGTTTGTTGTTTTTTTTTGCCACATAACTAGTAGAATATATTTCTAATGAATATTAACGAATATTAATGACAATAAATTTAAAAACAAAAATCATTATTGATTTTAGGGGATAATAATCATTGAAAATGAATAATTATTATTCAATGAGTATTTTGTCATCTTCTAATGGTTACTAAGTAGCATATCGACTTCATCTTTTCTTTTCAGGTGAAATTCTCATGCAGCTCTAGAAGCGACTGGGTGAATATTGACAATGACTATTAATTAGTTAGCAAATCAGTGTAAACAACTCAGTCTTACAGCTTATTTGTATGGTCTTAAAATCAACAGAAAGCATTCAATCTCTCAAGACCATGGATACACCTTGCTGAAAAGTACCAAATAGCGTCAGAACTGAGTTTGCAGTCTTCTATCAGTTGTCTCCAACTAACTGACATTGATTCCTGAACTGGCGAGTCTGTTTGCTCAGTAAGTATCATACAGATTTTATTCAATTCATTGAAGATGTTGAGTCTTTCTCTCAAATGATGTAACTAATTTTTAAAATGCTTATTTGGCAGTAATAAATGATAGTTTTATACCATTGGACTCCATCAATGTGCAAGTTGCGAAAACTCTCACAATACCTAAGATATTCTAAGAGAGAATTATTTTCTTATTTCAAAAATCAATTTTACTAGACGTCATCTATCAGTTGCCAAGATTTATAACATTAGTAATCAAAATTTCAATGGCATCGTCTCTGAGTGTGACACTGTGTGATACTGATTCGGATCCCTGGAGCAAGAGTAATTCTTTCTAGATAATTGGTAAATGATAACCAGTACAAATCTTGGATTAACAGATTATTTTTAACTACTCCAAACTTGGATTACTATACCGAATGACCTAAATAATGAAACAGTATTAGTTTCACTGATGTTACGAATGTTAACTAATTGCACTGTTATTATTTTGCGAATTAGAGATTCACGCATCTCACGTTTTTCTTTTAGAAGTTGAATTCAAACAGTGAAAATCTTGTTTCGAAGGCGACATTTACACAACATAAAATTTATGCTATCAACATTGGTCAGTATCTAAGCAATTTCATCCTTCGAACCTTGTTATCAAGGAACACAGACACTGGTGTTTTAAATCAATGCGTGCACAGCAAGTAAGTGATTATTATTTTGCAATCACTTATTGTGGATATAGTCTGTCCAGTAAATACACCAACTGAGACATTGTCATCTTTGGCCAAACTTTCTAGCTTGAACAACTAAGGAATTCATAACAAAATTATGAAAGGTACTTGATGACAAGTGCGTTAGCTATTTCACCGGAGGCTTTGAAAATTTCGACATTGATTCACGACTGCTGACCCTTTTATGCTTTGCAACTGTAGATTTCAAGTCTGACTAGTTTTCGGTCGACCTAATTCGAGGAAATCACGTGTTCATATATATATAACAATGTTTACAAAAAAAATTCGAAATACATTGTTTGAAATCTATGAGTTTATGAAACTCTTTGAACTCCTCGATATAAATCCTCCTGTTAGAGTTTTCTACTGACCACTTTAAGTAACTTTCTGTTAAAGGAAATAATAAATCATTTTTAAAAGACCAGAATGTCCTGCGATAAGTTTCATGGGCACAGATTTCATTCAATATTATTATTATTACTATTATTATTATTATTATCATATTTAGTCTTAGCGTTTATATCTATTTCAAAAGTTTCTTAAAATAAATTTTTATGACCATAATATATTCATGAAATAAATTCTAAAATTATGATTTTAATTATTATTATTTTTTTTTCAAGGGAACTAATGTAAACATTTTTGTGAGGATTAAGTCAAGTCAACAATCAATAAATGCATACATATACCACCACTGTTAAGGATTTATGTTTATAATTACTGATAATTTCGTTTTGAAAAAAAAGTATCCTATAAAAGATTGATGAAAATTAAGATAATCTTTAGGTTACTTATTATCAGTAACTTCATTCGACATGTAAGGCGAAATATACACACAGTAAGAAAATGGAATCGTATGGTAAAAGTCTTTTTATTATCATGATTATTTCTGTATATTTTAGCTGGATTAGCTGGGAATTTTCATGTGTTTGTTGATGAGTAAAATACATAAACATAAATATAAGAATGATAGTGTATAATATCACTAAGAAATGATAACTGAATACTAAGTTAATTATGTATAATCCTCCAGCGTAAAGAAATCGAAGTAGTTTCTGTTTTTTTCCGTAAATTAGTGTGTAATATCAATTTTTTGATCGGGCCATTAGCCATACCATTACTCGGTATAACTTGGTTTAGTTTGAAATTCACTCAGTTCTTTAGTAGACATTTCAAAAGTTATCATTTACATGTAAATTGAAAACTGTAAGTCAGTTGTCGAATTCGTGGTTTGGCATCACCCACCGAATTAGTTCGACGACGGAAAAGGCAGTCCCAGTGTGAAACTTGTCAGCGCGGGGACCCATGACCCTACCAGGACTAGGAATAAGGACCATCGTGCGGCGCTACCAGTGCCTTACCTCCAAACTAATGTATTAGTATATGATGGCTGTCTAACTGATGCTATTCCATGAAATATAGCACACAAGGACCAAGAAATGGGGTTAAGGATATGAGTTTTATTTATTTAATGAGGAAGGTATCATTTGCCTGCCTCATTTACCTACCATGTATTACCATGTATAAACAACATATTTTTTTACGAAGTATCTAGAATTTTATAAATCACTGGCTAATTCAAAAAGATTATTACCCGAGATTCTATTTTAACCATAATGTGATTCACATATGAGTTTAGTTATAAATGGCTGAAAGTTCGAGAAATTTAGAAAACTATATAGACTAGTTTTTATGGCTTATTTTAAGTTCGTGCAACATCTTGTGTATTGTAGTTTCTTAGTTGGTTGCATTGACAATATACTAAACTGTCTGCTAATGGATGCTTGAAAATATCTGACAGTGAATTTGCCTCCTAGACACTGAAGTATCATATTTTATAATTTATGTCTGAACAATTTTCACAATCCATAGTTTTTTTAATTAAAACTTTTGCTTGAGTGATTCGGGAGTGGGGATTGATTTTGTAAAGGTAACTGTGATCAGAATTTACTTGGTTGGTTAAACTTCTTGCTATTCCACAATCGTTATTGTGTACCAGTTATTAATCAGTTTTTGTTCTTATAGGTCTACTATCTTCAGTGAGTGCACCAGTATAACACATTTTTGTGAAAATTATATCATAATATTCGCCTCGCAAGCTCCGACTTAGAAAAAATGTGGATTCTAAATTCTGCGGTTATCCACAATCTAAACAGATTATTATCAAATTAACTTGTATTTGATCGTTTTGCAATAAGTTACTTTCAAGACGCAGCATATAAAATTATGTCGACAAGACTATATGATATCTCACTGTTTAAAAAAGCTATCTAAATTTGAGGAAAGGAGAAGAGAATAATTATGATAAATAGACGGATTCAGAGAGCAGGTAAAAACAACATTGGTTACGGAATTGTGAACTTGAAAACAAAAGAGATTCCATCGTTCTTAATTGCCTGAAATTATTCGTTCCCTTATTCTTGTGGTCAACATTTCGGTAAAATTAATTTAAGTTTGTTCTTACGAGAATATGATAAGTTTTTTCATGAAAGTATGCTGGTGGCCCATTCTCCACCACCAGTAGCAGAATTCAGTAAGCAATTACGGTTGATTTAGGTAAATGAAATGTATTTTTTAGGATGAGCATGGTATCTTGTAACTTGGATGATTATCACATAAGTAATCATCCCAAATAAAATACATAGGTGATCAATGAAACAGATTTAAAACTGAACAGTTGTTAATTTACAAAGAGAAATAATATTTAACATACTTGTTTGGCGATGGATCGTTGATGTTCACTGACATGCCAATGATTTAAGGCGCTTGTTAGTGATTTAAAACTAGTGATACATTTTTGAGATGATTTTTCAGGTGACATTAAATTGATATTAGGACTGTTAGATGATGGGGACAAACATTTTGATCCGGATGATAGGAATGGTAAATAATTTTTATGACATACGTAAACAACTTGTATATTTGTAAGAATTGATGATAGTTGTAATAAAGTTTTACCAAACTTTGTTTGATATTTTAAATTGTTCATGCTTTTCTGAGAAGAGTCTGTATGTGTGTTACTGGTCTCGTCATCATCATTATTTTCATCTGAAAGCGACTTCAATAAATCAACATAGAACAAACTTAACGAAGCTAATGTATTCCATAGATAGTTGCGTCGATTGACTAAATGTGTAAATATTTTCACAGCTCCAATGTGGCTGAGTGTTTGACAGTGTAATCGGAATTTATGCACTGAAGTTGTAAATAAATCGCAAGCTATGCAATACAATTGTATTGATGATGTTAGATTGAAATTATTTTTGACACTACTGCTATTACTGCTATTGTTACTTATATTGCTACTGTTATTATGATTAGGAATAACATTTGTTGTTATATTCAGTGATGGTATACTATAATTCTGTTCTTTTGTCGATAAGCATTGTATGTTGTTGTTGTTGTTGTTACTATTACTGATATTCAATATTTTATTTTCAGAAATATTTAAAGTTGATAGAATACGTGACTGATTCCACAAACCACCTTCGCACACATGTACAAGAAAACTTAATCTTTGTGCATGTTTTTCTGTTTTACAATGTAATTGAAAATTAGCCTTTAAAGGACTTTTATAAGTGCATAATTTACAAAACCAAAAACCATTTGTATGTACAGTTATTAAATTTGTAACGTAGTCTAAGTCAAATGGTATACGATTTCGTTCAACGTGTTCAATTAAAACATCTAAATTATCCGTTGTAAATGTACAACATACTTGACAGACTAACGGATGATTTGCTGTTTCAGTAAGATTACGTAACAGATTGTCATAAGATGATGTTAAAGGTATGAATGGTTTCAGTGGATGATCAAAATTAAAACAGGTCGAGTCGACCATAGACGATGAAGAGGAAGGACAGTTAGGTTGAGGCATTCCATCTTCACCATTAGATAAACCTGTTTCATGAAAATTTGTAATGACTTTATTCAAATTAATACTGTTTATAACTTTTTCATGCTCATTTTTGTTTTGAAGCAATTCAACAGCTTTTTGGTCTAATTTCACATTTTGTTGCACTGATGATATTGTTCGTCGTTCAGACAATGAATGTGCAGTTAAAATGTTCAAATTACATGGTGAATTAGATTTTTTACTGGTTGAGTTTGAATGAGCAAGATTTTGGTGTAGATTATTTTGCTGATGACGAGTATAATCAGGACTTTCACTTTGATTACTTCTTGTATCAGTTGTATTGAATATTGTTTGAGACATTGTTTGTTCATGCTCCTAAAATTAGAAAAAAAAACCAAGAAACTATAAATCAACGTTTCAATTGCTTATATTCTATAAAACAATTACTGAAGTATTTTCAAAATCATGATTAACAAAATTTTAGCTCGAATATATGAATACTAGAAAAAATATATAACTAGGAAATGGACTGAGTTCTATTAAAAAGAATCTACAAACTCTAAGATATGGTAGAATATACAAATGTTATAGATAGCTACTGTACTTACAAGACGCTAATTTAAATTTTATTTCATAATAAAAAAAGAATCTTACCTGAAGATTATTTAAATGCTTATCCGATTGTTGATGTATAGCTAAATTTCCTTTCGTTGTAGTCGAATAATTGCATATTTCACAACGATATGGTTTATAACCGCAAATATAAGTTTCACCTCGTCCTAATCTTGGATGTACAGTTTTTGTGACACAATAGAGACATGAATTAGTTGATATTAAATTTGGATATTTCGTTTGTGATTGTTGTTGTTGTTGTTTAGGCATAGTTGATGAAGATGAATATTTGATTTGTCCGGAAGTAGAGTATAGATTTGAATGTCTGGTAAATGCCAGTGTTTTAAATGTTTTATTCATAGATTATGTAGTGAGTGGTATTTCAATCTTTAAAATAATTACCAAATGAATAAGACCAGTTGAGTAGAACTATCGATTTGATCTACTTCTATTAGTCTGAAAAGAAATGAAGAATATTTATCATAAACAGGAATGGTAGTGAAACAGAATAGTAGTAGTAGTAATAGTATAAATAAATACATAACTAATAATTACATAACTAAAATTTGATGCAGGAAAAATTATAAATCAGCAGCGTGTAAGTCCATGATTTTACTTCTCTATTACAAACAAAATGATAGATATTTTTCACCCTAGAAAGAAATAACCTAATGTTTACCAAGACGCTTACTGAAAGAATTTGTATAGTTTTTTGTTCGATTTCAACATTTATTTACATCAACTAGAGAATCACTGAAAATTAACAAGTTGTGAACAACAAATTCGTCATAAAATACAACTTCTCTGAAGTATATAATCACTAAAACAATTCAGGCCCTATGGTAGCCATTACAAGATTCATTAGAATACCTCAGTTAACTTTCACTTTTAACAAGATTTGCATTTCAATATTATTGATAAGTTACTACCTCATTGTTGGTCTGATTATCTCCACAGAGCTTCTTGACCTACTACCAGAAAATCTGAACTACTGAATCAAGATGAAGTCTAATCTACAGTTTAAAGCTTTTCTAAATACGAAATCCGGATAAAAGCATCTAGTTCAAGAAAATTTGTGTATATCAATATATATATATATATATATATATATATATATATATATATATATATATCATTTTCAAGTACCATTCTCATTCAACCCTATTAAATTATCAAACAATAAATAATTTTTTAATGACGTTTGAAAAAAATGTCTCAAGCTGAAAAAAAACAGTAGAAATTTATGCTCAGTCTTCACCACTTTTAGATTTGAACAAAAAAAAATGAAAACCACAATGTAATTCTAAGTAAATCAAATTAATTCTGGTTGTTTTTTTTCTCTTGTCTTATGCTCATCACTAATAATTTCTCGATCATAATTAAATATTTTGTCTACTGTAATATTTTATTAGTTGAATGAAACAAAATTCTAAAACAAAATGTCTGGCTGAAAAAAAAGAAATAGTGTTTTAAAGGAAAAGACAAGTGTTTCTTCTTCTTCTTCTTTTTATTTGATAACACTTAATAATAATAAATTAAAAACAATTCATTAATTTAAAATTGAATTTCATTTAGACATGAAAATAGATTGGCTTGTTTAGTGAAAGATACAAGGAGAAGAATGTCGATACACTAAATGAAATTAATTAATGATGATTTTTTTTTAATTAAAAGCTTTAAGTAGGGAACACGACTTAAATCAGAATTAGATTTTTTTTTTTTCTGGTGAAGTTGATTTTCGGTAATATTTGCACTTACGTCACTTAAATGAGTGAGATTAAGTGATAATTGGTTGGCTCTTACAATGGATTGTCTCTTATACACGAAAATCAAGTATGGATGGTTAAGACATTTAAAAGAGACTAATTTACTGAAATTAAACTTTGGAAATTAAATAAGTTACCAATACTTTTTTCATTTCTTAACTATTGATTATAATTAACAATGTGTGTTGGTCATTTTCACTTGAGTTATGAATGAGGAAATCGTAAACTAAAAACTAATATAAGGTTGAATGATCATATGTCAGTCATTTCATACATACATTCTACTTATCTAACAAAAAACATCTATCTACCCAAATGATCTTCAGGTTCATATAAGAGTTTCACTGAAATTATTTAATTTGTAGATATAGATTTATTTGATTGTAAGCAGTAATCGGTGATTTTGTAAATGTTCAGCGAAAAACTAGGTGGACTCTTTTGCAACTACGGTTATCATTTTTGATAAAAGTAGTCAATAAAATTGAAATGCTCATTTAAAATCTAGTGTAATTAGGAAATGTCACTACTACTTTCCGTAGACTGGTTTTACTTATTTAACCCATGTGTGTATTTGTCGGGATTCTTCTGAAAATCTAGAGACAGTTCAATGTATTATGGTCACTGGATTCGCATATGAAGCATGTCAGTATAAATAAATTATTGACTTTAAATCATAACAATTAAAACACTCTGTCACATGATGAAGTACATCAGGTGAGTACTGCATAGTAGAATTTTTTTATACTACTGAGTAGGAAATGACAGCGAATAGTAGGATAAGGTCAGTGTCAAAATAGAATGTATATAAGAATTTGTTCATTTCACAGCATCAAATATTCACGCTGTCTAAGTAAACTGCATCTTTAATGGTATTTAAAAAGAGGTGCTTTGCACTCTGCAGATAATGATTTTCACAGAAATCAGTTTACAAACGGAATCAGTATGTCATCGAGTATAAATTATGTAAATTTCCAATTTCAAACAAAAAGTCTAACAAAGTATAATGCAGTCTAAGATAGTACGATAAAAAAATTGGGAAAGGACATATAGTTAGTGCACTACACAAAGTGACTGATACTAATGACTACACATTTGTACATATAGTATGGCAAGTGAATAGTTAAATATATATATACTTGTTTATGGAGTATGCAACATAAGATACATGAGTTACAACAAACTAGAATACAAGTGATTCTTTTATTTTAAAAAAATAACATCTCAGCCTACTTTATTTATCTTAAACACATGAGTTCACTGTGAAGCAATACTGTAAAAGTTTTTGTGATAAAATTAGTCTCAAATTAAATAATTAAATCACGGCACCTACTTCTTTTAATTGGATAATTGAAGTTAACCCATAAATGATGCTCAATGAACTGATTTGATTGCCGTGAATGACTTAACCTTAACAGTTTGAATGATTGTTATCGGTACTCACTGGTTATTTAATTTATGCTCAACTTCTTTCAGACGATAGTCAATAAAAGTGATGATAATACTCGAACTATTATGATGTAGCTTATGAGAACTATGTTCCGTTTAGTCCATAGATTTTTATTGCTATTCTATTAAAAATTGGTTTTCAGTGTTCCGACATTTATTTAACTTACTCCTGATCATTGTATAACATTGATCTAGTGGCTCGCAATGGAGAAGATTCATCGGGTTATTGATAAATTCGTGAAAAGTAGTGTATTTTCAGTAGAAGTTTCGTTTGTAAAGTCATAGATTTTATAACTTCTGGTCTTACCTAAATTTAATAAATGGAATGCTTTAAGTCTTGTGGTAAATGTATATGTTTGGATTTATTCTGGCCTGTTTAGTTGCTAAAATAAATGTGTTATTAAAAGACCCTCAATGAGAACCTTGTCAGAGCAACTGTAGACAATTGAATAAATTGTCTATAGATTTAAAGCACTGATGAAGGGAAAAATTTTTTCAAATATTAATACCGAATTCATTACATCGTCAACAATTCAGAGGAAAAATAAAACGTACTTGCATTTCATTAATTGCCGTGCCACAAAGGTACACGTTGTCATAAACAGTGGTTTATGTAAAGTCTGTTGCCATACACCCGTAACACTAACCTACTATAGTTGTAAACAAACGAACTTCCAAATGCGGAAGAAGTTAGGAAGGTACTTTGAAGGTCACTAAGTCATACCTTACAGAAATAATTAAACTACATCATCAGGCAAGCAGTAACTTGGGATCCTTATGCCAAAGAGGAAAGAAGCAGACCAAAAATCACTGCTCTGATAAATGGAGGCAAATATCGAAAGGCTGAATAGCATGTTGGAAAAATTTTGAAAGAAGAGCTTAGGTTGGTTAGAGTTAGGGTTAGCTGTCAACCACGGTGGGCAAAATGCACAAGTTGGCAAGTAATAAGTGCCAAAAATGCAATTATTTTTTTTAATTGAAAATCCTTCCATGAACCTTTTTAAAATTCATAACATTTATTCACAACTCTGCGATAACGTTTAGAAGTATTTGCTCTTATTGCATTAGATCAATGGTAATAATGATAAAGATTTCTACTGGTTTCAGTTATATATTAAATTCTGTTATCTTAAATTGCAAGTTAAAGGAAATAGTTCTTTAATAAGTTTCTGTTTATAAAAGCGATATGTTCTCCGTTGCTCTGATCGTGTTAATAGTCACTTTGGCGGCTCACGACTGGACTCCAGTGTGGACGAATGTGATAAAATAAATCTTCCTTTCCACTTCCGCATGTTATTACTCAGGCTAACTCCGTTTGTGCAACGGAAGTAATAAAAAGGCCAAGTGCAGTTTCACGGATGAATTTATTTCATGCAACATTTCAACAAAACAGATACTTCTGAAAATTATTTTGTTCACAACACTTGTATACGAGGTAACTATGTGTTAGTTTATATGGTGAAAAGGAGGCTACTGTAATTGTTTAGCTTCAGCATACTCAAAAATTTGTTTTTATAACTGAAAATTCTTGTGATTTCTATTCTGTACATGTTTTATCGTACTTAATAAGTGAGGCAAGCAGAATGTTTATCAGTAAAAGAATTCATTGATTTCAAAAGTTAAGCATATTTTTATACTACTTAACAATGGTTAATAAAAGTATTAAAATAGTATTAAAAAAACATTTACTCAGGAAAAAACAACACAATTAACATAATTTTACATAAACAATAGAAAAAAAACTAGTAAATATTACTCGTTACCCTTCTAATCTTTCATAGTAATAACTTACTAATTAGTTTTATGATTACAAAACAAGCAATTATTCTGTGATCCGGACAAAACTAACTGATATTCACAAAATATGCATTAACGCGAATAGTTATGCCATTTTCTTTGCTCTCTGTCGATGAGTCTCTTCTCATTGTTTTTACGTTGTTTAACTGTCAGGTAATTTTATTGATGATGATAGAGAACTTAATTTTTATGATTAAGTAAGAAATTATTATTTTATTATTATTATCATTATTATTATTATTGTTATTATTATGCAAATCTGTATAATCTGCGCATTAATTCCCAAAATTATAACCACAAACTAAACATGAGTTAATGAGTAAACTCATTACCAAGGAAAATAAACTGGGCAGATAATTTTGGGTGATATAAGTTTTTTCTAAAACTATAATTTATCCAATAAACAAATGATAATTGAACCATGTTGTTAATTCTGCATAAAATGAT